TATTCGAACACAGCTATGCTCATTAATTTACACTTTATCTATGGCTGTTGTGGTGGAATAATGATAGTGTTGAGTAGTTGTGGATCAAATGATCCACAAAGCCTAAAATATTTACTATTATTTACTCTTTTAGGGAAAAGTGCTGACTCCTGCTCTATCTCTTAAGTCTTTTATAGTCAGATCATGTTAAAGTTCTGGTGGAGATTTATGAGGTTAGTATTTTTGTGTTGTTTCCCATGTGCTCCATTCTAAGAAAGAATACTTTTAAAAAAAAAGTCATTTTGGGTTGTTAGTGCCCAGCTTTCTTATCCATAAGTAGGTATAATACCACCTATGAGAAGTTAATGATGAGAAATGTAAAGTTCTTAGGCATCCAGAGAGAATTCAAGCAATGGGGAGATGTAATCAGGGAAGTCTAAGTGTTTATTTGGGTGATTTAGGATGGCATGTTTTTAGAGATTCTGATTTTACACAGAGCTGACTGTAATGGCCTAGTTTATCCAGGATTTTAATATAACATTGCTTATTAACTTTCCTCCATGTTTTTCTTCCTTCCTCCTTCCCTGCCTTTACCCCTCTCTTTCTTTCTCTTCTCTTTCCTCTCTTCCTCCTGGTCTTCATAACTTCTTCTCTCTTTCTTTTTTTTAATCTTTACCTGAGGATATGTTTTTTTAATTTTTTTTTTTTTTGAGAGAGAGAGAGAGAGAGAGAGAGAGAAAGAGAAAGGGGGGAGAGTGAGAGAGAAACATTGATGTAAGAGAGAAACTTTGATCAGTTGTCTCCTGTACACGTCCCCACAGGCGATTGAACCTGCAACCTAGTTAGGTGCCCTGACTGGAATAGACCCCACAACCCTTTGCTGTGCAGTACAATGCTCCAAGAAGCTGAGCCACCCAGCCAGGGCTCCTCTCTTTCCTTTTTGATGTATGTAAACATTGCTATTAAGTTAAGGTCACTGGGTAGCTACTCTAGGGGGAGTATGCAGAGAACCTAACATAGAAGAATCTTCCTTATTCTTAGTTCCATTCTCTAGGAAGCAGAGGAACGTTAAAATCTTGTAATCTCCTTCACCACCCTCTATTCTTATTAGCAACCATCTACGTATATGTAAAATTTACTTCTACTACAGCAAATTTTAGGGTAGCTCTTCAGTTTTGCCCTGAACCATGATGCCTAAGGGTTCAATTTAGTCAGGCATGGTTTTCTTCTAGAAGACAGGATAGATTATTCCTAATGTTTTGAAAGAAATTTGAAGATCTAGTGATGATAAAATTGAGCCTACCAGTCTTATATTGCAAATACCTTTTAGTTGTTTTCTTGTTTCATGAAAACATAAACTTAAAAAGCTGTTATTTTACTTGACAGGTATTTTTAGGAGATCAATTTGAAACCTGGGACTTAGCCCTTTCTAGTTATTATAAAACCATCAGTAATATAAGAGAGCAAGGAAAAAGAATCTTAGAACATGTTTTGTCTTAATCATCCTTTATTATTATTTTGTGGTAGTTTTTAGTTTTTGTAGGTATCAGGAGAAAAGATATGGAAAAGAGGTGAATTCTAGGATGAAAGGTGTAACAGTAGACTCTTCTGTTTTAATTCAACTAAATTCTTTTGTTTGTGGTTTCAAAAGGAGTTAAAGTGGGTCAGAATTTCTCATTGAATGTTTCTACCATTTGAAACCTAATAAAACTCATTAAACCTAAATTTTATATACTGTTAAAGGTAAGTGTCCTCCCTGTTGTCTCATCCTATCTTATAAAAGAGAAACGTGTTAATTAGCCGTACGTCCGCTACCCTTCCCATTGGCTAATCACTGAGATATGCAAATTAACTGCCAAACAAGATGGCGGCCGGCAGCCAGGCAGCTGACGCGAACAGGGAGGCTTGCTTGCTCCAGTGACGGAGGAAGCCAGGTTCCCCGCCTGCCTTGCCGGCCTCTCAGCTGCTCTCTAAGAAACATTGTAACAAATATAGAAGCTAAACAAAACCCCAGAAACCTCCTTTCAGTCAGCCAGGCTTCAGCCAGCAGGACCGCATCATTTTTTCAAATCAGAAGGTAAACAAAGGCCAAAACCTGCCCTGGGGGGGGGGGGGTTAAACCTGCTTTCAAAAGCCGAGGCCTCAGAGTTGGAGCCAAGCCTCAGAGCTAAAGCTGGCCCAGAATAAAAAAATAAAGGAAAAAAGGACAGGTTGGGAGCTTCAGTCACCCGCCAGCCTGAAAACGGCCCTCAGCCCCTCACCCAGACTGGCCAGGCACCCCAGTGGGGACCCCCTACCCTGAAGTTGGTGTGACCAGATGCAAACAGCCATCATCCCCTCATCCAGGCTGGCCAGGCACCCCAGTGGGGACCCCCACCCTGATCCAGGACACCCTTCAGGGCAAACCAGCCGGCCCCCACCTGTGCACCAGGCCTCTATCCTATATAGTAAAAGGGTAATATGCCTCCCGGCACCGTGATCAGCATGACAGGGGGCAGCTACCAAACCCCCTGATCGCCCTGTGGCTCTGTGTGTGACAGGGTGCGGCGCCCCAACCCCCTGATCAGCCCTGCTCTGTGCATGACAGGGGGGAGCTGCCCAACCCCCTGATCGCCCTGCGGCTCTGTGTGTGACAGGATGCGGCGCCCCAAAACCGCCCCCACCCCACGGCCCTGCTCTGTGTGT